CTGGAGATATAGCTTAGTTGTAGAGGGCTTGCCTAGCGTATGTGAGGCCCTGGATTTGAACCCTGACATCAAAAAAATAAAAATAAAAACTGAGGATAACATGTATTTTTTGTTGAAGCTTGCTGTATAGTGAACAGACATTCACTGAAAAACTTACTAAAGAATATACTTTAGGGGCTGGGGTTGTGGCTCAGTGATAGAACACTTGCCTAGATGTGTGAGGCACTGGGTTTGATTCTCAGCACCACACAAAAATAAATGAATAAAATAAAGGTCCACCAACATCTAAAAATATTTTTTTTAAAAAAAGAATATACTTTAGGAGAAGGAATGAATATAAGTTGCAATGGTGGGCTGGGGTCATAGCTCAGTTGCAGAGTGCTTGCCTAGCACGAGTGAGGCTGGGGTTTGATCCTCAGTACCACATAAAAATAAATAAATAAAATAAAGGTTAAAAATGTACATAATATTTTTTTTAAAAAAGACACAATGGTAAATGGTAAAGAAGAAAAAAGGTAAAGTTGTGAGCACACATAATCAAGTACTGAGCATAAAAAGTAGCATCAATAATAAAGACTAATTTGAGAGATAAAAAGGTAGAACTGAAATACTGGGCAACAAGAACATACAAAGAAGGAAAGTGATCATCAAAAAGTCATTTCAGGACTTTGGTTGTAGCTCAGTGGTAGATCTAGCACTTGCCTATTTTTATTTTTAAAAAATAAAAGTAGTGTGTCTATCTACAACTAAAAAAAAAAAAAGAAAACTTGTTTGTTTGTTTGTTTGTTTTAAAAGTCATTTAAGGGCTGGGGTTATGGCTCAGTGGTATAGTGCTTGCCTATAGTGTGAGGCACTGGGTTCAATTCTCATCACCACATATAAATAAATAAAACAAAGGTCTGTCAACAACCAGAAAAATATTTAAAGAGAGACATTTTTTATCCCTTTGACAAAAAAGTCATTAAATTATTTGAGGGGATGGGCATGCTAATATTTTAATTATTCCACCTTTTATTTATATATTATTTCATCATTTTGTACTCCATAATTACATACAATTTATCAATCTACAATAAAATTAAATTTTTTAAATGCTGAAATAAAAAGAAAGACCTGAATAAATGAAAAAACAGCCCATGTCCAAGAATAATAATACTTAATATTGTTAAGAACACAACACCCCAAAAATTGATCTGGGCATTCAATGCTGTTTCTTCAAATTCCCAACTATACCTGAAGCCTTTCAACAAGGTTCCTAAGGGAGACACAAAACAATCCTTATGAAGAATTACAAAATCCTATTATTAAATTTACCATAATCAATTCTTACTACAAAGTTATAGTAATCGAGCAGGTGGCTATAGCCATGGAATAAATTTGAAGTTTCATTAATTAAACACATACACTTATAAGTACATTGATTTTGACAAAGGAGCCAAGGGGGAAGAAAAATCTTTTCAAAAAATGATGCTGAGAAAATTGGATATCAAAACGTAAAAGGAGGAGGGGAGGGGAGAGGTGGGGAGGGGGGATGGTGGAGGATGGGAAAGGCAGCGGAGCACAACAGACACTAGTATGGCAATATGTAAATCAATGGATGTGTAACTGATGTGATTCTGCAATCAGTGTATGGGGTGAAGGTGGGAGTTCATAACCCACTTGAATCAAAGTGTGGAATATGATATGTCAAGAAATTTGTAATGTTTTGAACAACCAACAATAAAAAATTAAAAAAAAAAAAACGTAAAAGGATAAAGTTGGACCCCTAACTCAAATCATACACACAGTGCTCCCCAAAAAAACTCAAAATAGATCACATACCTAAATTAAGTATAAGAAATATTAATTTTCACGATCTTGGATTAAGCAAAGATTTCTTAAACTTTATGTCAAAAGTACAACCATGAAGAGAAAATTAGATGAACTGTACCTGATCAAATTCAGTGTATTTTATTCTTCAAACAACAACATGAAAATACAAGTCCCTAAATAGGAGAAACCACCCCCGCCACAACTTAACATTGTATTTTTAGCACCCAGAACTGTGAGATAATAATTTTTTTGTGTGTATGGCACTGGCAATTGAACCCATGGCCTCATGAATGTTGGGAAAGAACTATATCACTGAAAATAAATTCATATTGCTTAAAAAAAGAAGAATGGAAGAGGTCATCAAAATTAAGTGTCCTAAGGTCTTTGCATTGTTCAGAGGGAAGGTAGGAAAAAAACCATCAGGTTTGAACTGCTAAGTCAAGTATGTACATTAAAATTATAAAGGTAACCATGAAGAATAAAATAGAATACATAACTGCCAAACCAGCATGGGATTTGGCAGAAGAAGAATCAATCCAAAAGAGGCAATCAATCCAAAAGAGGCAGCAAAGGAGTAGAAATGTATCACCCAGGAGGCAGGATAAACAGAAGGCACGATATAAGATGATAGAAATAAATCCAAGTGTATCAGCAATCACAATAAATATAAACTCACTAAACACTCAAACAATTATCAAATGGTTATAAAATCAAATCTAACCACAGACTATTTACAACAGACATACCTGAAACATTAGCAGACAAAAATAAAATCTTTAAAGTCAAAGATGGAAAAAGATGTTCTGGGCAAATACTGAACAAAAAAAAAAATAGACTTAAGAGAAAAAGCATTATTAGAGATAATAGGGTGGCGTCTCTGGTGCTTTAAATCTCTTTCCTCTTCCGTAAAGCAGAGATTCTAAGCCATTCCTCCAGGAGAAATATATCAAGTATATGTGATGTTAGATAATGTAAAGTGGGAGGAGGAGAAAAGAAGAGGAGCAGAAGGAGGAGGAAAGGGAATCGGAAATGTTGCGGGGGGGGGGGCAGGGGGTGGTTAAATTAAAATTTTAGAACATATGGGAAAAGATCTGAAAGAAGTGAGGAAGTGATCCAGGGCAGTGTCTGGGAAGGAGGCACCCAGGCAGAGGGAGCCCCAGATGCAAAGGCCCTAAGTCTAGAGCACAGTGAGGTGTCCAGGAACAGCAGGGGGTCTAGTGCAGCTGCAGTGGAAGAGGGACCGGTGTTTGGAGAGGAACTTGGAGGCAGCACTGGACAAATCATGCAGGGCCTTATAACTCGTGGTAAAGTCCTTGGTGGTTACTCTGAGCAAGGGTGAGGGTTTTGAGCAGATTTGCAAATGAATGTAGGAATCTGTTTAAATGATCACCCTGTCCACACTGATGAGAATGAAGTGAAGCTAGGGCAGGTTCCAGGAGGCCAACTAGAAGGCATTGTAAGAGCCCAGGCAAAAGGACATGGTAACTTGCAGCAGAAGTGGTAAAGGGTGGCTGGATCCAGGATACATTTTGACATTTTGAAGGTGGGACCCAGAGGCTTTGCTGAGGGATTAGATAGGGGATATGAGAGAGGAAAAAAAACAGATTGACTTCATGGGTTGGGGGTGTTGCACGGCTGCAGAGGACATGCTTAGCATGTCTGGGGGCCTGGGTTCCATCCCAGCACACATACACACACACACAAAAAAAAAAAGTAAGGAAAGCACTGACTTTGAACTTTCAGACCCGAGTTCCTGAAAGAACAAAGTTGATGCTATCTGAAAAGGAGAAGATGGTAGGTGGAGCGCCAATCCATGGAGGAGGGAAAGGGGGTGTCAGCAGTTTACTTTTGGGCATCTCCAGTTTGAGATCTGTACTGGACATCCAAGTGAGATTTCAATACACGGCTTGATAAATGTGCCTGGTGTTCCTGGGAAGATTGGGGCTGGGGTTGTGTATCCAGAGGAGTCATCAGGCTCTCAGTAATATTCAAAGCCATGAGCCTAGATGAGATCACCCAAGGAGTGGGTGTAGAAGCAGTCCAGGAGCCCTGGAAAACTCCAATGTTGAAATCCTACAGTCTTAGAGGCATCCAGCACACAGGTGAGATTAAGCAGCCAGGGGGAGAATCTTGAGGGTCTAGTGTGTCCAAAGTCAAGGAGAAAAAAAAAATGTTTCAAGAAGGAGAGTTAGCAACTGGGTAAGATGTTAACACCAGAACTGAGCATTAACTAGTGGGTTTAGCAACATAGGTTGGTGTGATGTGAAAAGACAGCTGTGCCAATAAGATTCCCTGATTCAGGAAATGTAACAAAGGAATACTGAGAGACCGCTGTGGGGAACAATGGGAGTCCGTGTGGACGGTCTTCTGCATCACTTTTTGCGTTGCTTTTTCCCCCAGCAAACAGCAAAAATAGCTAACCTTTATTGAGTGCTGGCCATGTGCCAAGAACACTATTATGATGCCTATTTTTAAATAGGGAAAGTGGGGCTCAAACAAAGTCAAGTTACTAGCCCCAGGTCACTCAGCTGGTAAGTAGCTGAGCTGGAATTCAAGACCATCTCCAGATTTAATGACTAGACTGCAGCTGTCTCTGCTTAATTAAAGAGAAAGCCTACACTTAGGGATGAAACTCACACGTACAAAATACCAATTTTTGGACTGGTACCTTGTGTTTGAATACAGTTTTCCGCTGAACTCACACAAATCTCTTGAGAGATAACTACCACTACTGTTGTCATTTTAAAGATGAGAAAAGAGAGGCATTGAGAAGTAAGATATCTCACTGGGGGTCCCAAGGGATGGAAGTGGTAGGGGCAGAACTCAGGCCCAGATCGCCTGGGAGGCTGCAGCTTGGCCCATGTCCTATCTGTACAAATCAATCCCACTCTTTGCATGGGGGTGGGCTGGAAGCAGTCAGGCCTGGAGAGGGCCAGAGACCCTCAGAGAAGGAGTGTTGTCCTTCCTTACAAGCTCATAACTTTGAGAATTCTTGGCAGGTTCCGCAGATGCGACTAAGACCCCCCAGTCTGAGTAGCTCCGGGAGACTCAAGGCGGGTTTCCCAGTTTCACCAGAACCAGGCCTGACCTCTCCCCATGGCCAGACCTCTGGTTTCAAGGCCTAGGATGAATATGGCCCGGAACACCCCTCTCCTCCCTTCCCTCCAGGTGCACCGGCTTTTCCCTACCTGTCCAGTGGTGAGGGAACGGCTGTAGCCAGGGATGGAGCTCCGGGGGTGAATCCGGGGTGGGACACAGCAGCTGGAAAAGGTCAAAATGTCAATGTCAGAATGGGGGTCTGCTAAGGGAAATGAAGGCAATGGGACTTCTGACCAGGTTCTGTTCCTCAGAAACCTCCAGAGATCCCCTAGGAGACACTGGGTAAAGAGACTCCCCCCCAAAAGGCACTCAGACAGGAACTATAACCAAATCCTTCCCCTTCATATGGGGCAGAGCAAGATACCCCACTTGAACCCTTTGCAGGGTTGCCCAACAGGAACCCACTCTACACACAACTGCAGAAAGCCAGCATCAGCTTCCTGACACCCACTGCCAGCCCTCCCTGTCCTTACTTGATCCGGGCCTGGTCCACACTGGAGGAACGTCGGGTGGCGAAGCGCCGGGCAACTGCTTTGGGAGATGTCTTGGGGCTGCCGTCGGAGTCACCGCTCTCCTCATCCCCCATGGCTTTGATGTAGCTGCCGCTCCGCATCCTACGGCAGGGGATCTCCCCATCCTTGCCACCCGTGGGGTAACCCCCCCAGTCATCTTGCGGCACCTGCAGGGACAAGGGCCTCTGTCTCTCAGACATGTCCCTTGTCAATCTAGGGGCCAGGATCCTCTACCCCTACTGCCAGTGGGGGGGCTCCCTGGCTGGGGCAGACCATGCCCACGAGCAATCAGAGGAGGAACAAGAAGGGAGGTCTCAGATCGTCGGCCCCTCCCTTGAGGGAGAGACGACTTCATCCTCCCAGGACCTCCTGCCACTTAACTGAGGGCCACTTAGAGAGTCTGGGGTGTAATCTGCCAGGTGCTGACAGGCTGAATGAAGATCAGAAGCCCAAGTGACCTTTGTCAATCCCGCTCCCGGCAGTGAAGTATCCACTGACCTCAGGCACCTTCTATCCTTCTTCTTCCATCCTCTGAACCAGCTCGCCTGCTGCATCCTCTGACTCTGCTCGACCCCGTGAGGAGCCAAAGAGGATGTTATGCAGAGGACACATCAGATTTGTGTTCAGAGGGAGCCCTCGACAGCCCAGACGGAGGCTGCAGGGTGGAGGACCAGGAGCAGGGCAGGGGCTCAAGTGGCAGGTGGGAGACCAATTAGGAGGCTGAGGCTGTTATCCAGGCAAGAGATGATGAGGCCTAAATTAAGACAGTGACAATGAGGGGGAAGAGGAGATGCAGATGAGAGGTGTTAAGGAGCATCAGTGAGCCTGATTAGCCGTGGGGGGAAAAGGAGGCAGGGAGGAGTTAAGAATGACTGCCAGGCTGATGGCTGAGGACCTGGGGGGTGGGGTGCAGTTGCTCACTGAGCCACAGAACCCCGGAGCAATAGGCTTGGGGAGAGGTGATAGGTTTGGGGTTGAGCACCTTGAGTTTGTCCCAGAACTGTTAAGGAGGTGGTTGGATGTTTGGCCTGGGGTTCAGCAGGAGACTGGAGCTAGAGGTAGACCTGTGGGAGTCATGGTGGCAGCTGGATCCATAGGAGAGAAGGAGACAACCCAGGGGATATAGGAAGAGAGAGCTAAGAGCGATCCACTGACATTTAAAAGGGGGCTGTGAAGAACAGAAGAGGAGCCTGTGGAGTCACCTGAGAAGGAGTGGGCAGGAGGGTGGGAGGGAAGTCAGGAGAATGCCATGTCATAGAAACAGGAGACATCTCGAGAATAAAAGAAGTTGATTATGTCAAATGCCACAGTGCGTTCAGAGGTTAGTAACTCAGGCTTCGGAGTTGGAAGATCCATAAGCAAATTCTGACCCCCTGCTTGCTAGCTAGGTGAACTTGAGCAAAACCGATTAATCGCTAAGCATCAACCTGGCTTTCTTGTCGGGGAACTGCTAATGGAATTATGCCTACATCAAAGGGTTGTTGGGAAAGTTAAATAAACCTATACTGAGTGTCCTGGACACAGAGAGTGATCAATAAATCTTAACTTATAGATATGGAAGGTACCCTTTGAAGGTAGCTCTCAGAAACCAGGTCCCTTCAGCGGTCAGAGGCTGTGAGGGGCAGAAGGAAAAGGAAATGAAGAGAGGAGACTCTAAGAACTCGGGTAGAAAGGGAAGCAAGAAGCACAAGGGGCAGTGAAATTGAGGAAAGATGTTTTTAGGGTGAAAGTGACTTTGAGCATGTTTTCAGGATGAAAAGACAGTAAAGATTTTCTTTTAGAAAGGGGACAGTTGAGGGATGGAGGAGGATGGGCTCAAGCCCTTGTAAAGGGATCAGCCTGAGCTAGGTGGTCCTGGCTTTTCCTCTGAGGGAGTCCACGAGGATCACCTACACTGCAAAGAATGTCATCTAAGTGAAGGCAAGGGGAGACGACAAGGGGAGCCAACAGGACGTAAAACACTTGTTGTAAAGAAGAGGCTGCAAAGGGCAAAGATAGGGCTCCAAGAGGGGACAAGGCTCAGGAGAGTCTAGGGCTCAAGGGAGGGATAAGGACAGGGATCAGTATGAGAACTGGGGACCAGGGATGGAATGAGAGCCCAAGAAGGAACCCTCAAGGAAGAGCAGGACTCAGCAAGGGGTCAGGGCTGGGAAATGGGAATACAGAAAGGAGATGAGGCTCCTTAAAGGAACAAGGCTCAGAATGGAAAGAGAGGACCCAGAAAAGGGTTGAGGAAGGGCTCGTGTCTAGGGAGAGAAATGGGACTTGAACAAAAGGTCCAGGAGTCTGAAGAAGATACCCAGTCTGATGGAGCCAGCCCCCCTGCTTGTGCACCGGGGAGTGCCAGGCTGTCTGGGAGGCTCCTGCAGCTCCTTAGTTCTCACCTAAAGGAGCTCGGACTTCCCACTCCATGACACCCTGGAATCCCAGACCCTGAGGACCATTCCCTTTCCCCACGCTGTACAGAGGGGAGCAGCAGATAAGTCAGCAGATGGGCCAGCCAGGGCAGGCTCGGCCACACTGCAGGGCTCCCACTCCATAGCCACTGCAGAGTTCCTCGCTCCTCTGCAGGACACTGTGAGGTGCATGTTAAAAAGGAAGCCCCCAGGGAGGTCAGGGCAGCCCTGGAGAAGCAGCGGGGAGCAGCAAAATGGTGGCAGGCCTCCAGGGATGGCAAGGGCTCGGTTATGGGGGAGGAATAGTGGCTGTTCCCTCCCTGCATCCTTCAAAGTTCAGCTTAGAGCACCTTCCTACCCAGGAGGGGGCAATCCAAGGCCAACCCACAAGTCCCGAATCCCAGAAGTCCCTTTCTACTTCCACAATGGCCCTATTTTCTCCTCTGGGCTTTCAAGAGTTCCCCCAGGGGAACTGTAATGTGTGAACAACTTACCAGCAAGGCCAAAAACACCCAAAAGACACATGCAGGCTCACTTCTCCACACCTCTAAACAGCCTGTAGTCTCTTCCTGGAACACTTTTAATCTGCACTCAACTAACTCCAACTCCTCTGCTGACACTCCATTTAGGGGACATTCCTCCTAGAAGCTGTTTCAAGCCACCCCTGGCCACCATCACCAGGTAGGTGAGGGACTCCTGTGTCCCCATGGTGCCCAGGACTCTCTTCTGTCACAGCCAATCATACTCTATTCCAGCTGCTTCCTTGTCTACCCCTCCTAAACTGTGAGTTCTCACAAGCAGTGTCTATGTCTTCACCTCTGTACCCATCTGAGCACAAAGTAAATGCTCAGGGAATGAATGAATGTGGATTGATCATCTATGAGGAATGTGGGTTTAGGAGATAACCCTAAGTCTGCTGGACCTCCAGAACTTTTATTGACTTTTCCTTCTAAAAGTACAGGAGAGCTCAAGAAAACAGACTGGGCTGGCAGAGGGTGCGATGAATGGTCCATCAGAAGAGGTCAAAACTCTTAGGCTCGCCAGCAGAGGCCTCAGAGGTAGTAAAACAGGATGGGGAGAGCATGCCAATTATTGTCAGAACCTCCACTCCCAACACCACCTGGAATTAAATCAAGGCTCAGACTTCAGCATGTCCTCAGCCTAGGAAAACTCACAAGACAGTGACCCAGAGCTCTTCCATACCCCGCCACCCTGCCCCCACCGGCTTTCCCACCACAGGTACCCAAGAATGACAAACCTCAGCAGAAGCATATTCTGGAAACTGGCCTTCATATTCAAACATCTGGACCACTCTGATTTGAGCAGTAAAGTTCAGGAGAAGGCTTTGGGCCAGGAGAATTGTTTTCCAACTGCCAACCTCCAAGCTAAAGGGCAGCTAGGGTCAGAGAGCTTCACGCTATGCACTGCCTTTTCTCAACCTCATTCTGCCTCCAATTTCATAAGATAGAGGTCAGCACACCTTGTCCAAAACAGTAGGTCAGTGAGAAGTCTTCCTGGCACTGATGTGCATCATCAGAAGAAGGGCCCCTGCACTGCACAAACTGGGGAACTAAAGCCCCAACAGGAGCTCAGGGTGACACAGTGAGGCAAGTGGAACCTCTCTGCATGCATGCCCTCCATCAGAGGGTCAGCTGGTTCCCATCCAACCCTTTCCCTGTTTCCTGGCTGACAAGACTGGTGAGGGCTGAGGACCCTGTTCCCCACCCCCACAAAGCCTCACCTGCAGATAGTGATAAGTCCTGGCTTTGGCCTTGGCCTCCGGACCCAGAAGCCCCTTGCCCGGCCCGGCCCCGGGGTATCCGTCCCGGCCCTGGCTGACCATCATGGTATGCCAGGCACTTCGCTTGACTGATTGTCCATCCAGTGACATGGACATGCCAGTGCAGGCAAGGCAGCGGCCTTCCGACCCGCCTGAGCGTCCCTTGAAGCTCAAGTCCCGGTAGGACCCATCTGGAGCCTCCAGGCAGAAGGGACCACCAGGCTCCCCAGGGGGTCTCCCACCCCCCAGGAAGCCACTATCACTGTCCAAGTTGTCATCGGAGCTCCACCAGCCGGCGGCCTTGGTCTGGTGCCTCCCATCCCCCTTGCGGTCCTTGCTCTTGCTCCTCTTGCCATGCCGGGACTGATGGTGGTGGTGATGGTGGTGGTGATGGTGGTGGTGCGAGGTGTGGGGGCCTCCAGAGCCTGGGCCAGGGTAGCTGTCTCCCCCAGAACCACCTCTTCCCTCGGCCTTAGGCCCATTATAGTCCCGCTTTCCAGGTGCCTCCAGAGAGTGGGACTTGGCAAAGAGCTTCTGCACAGAGTGAACCAGGTGCCGGATGCGGCTGGGACTCTCGCTTCGAGCCTCTGGGGCGGCGCCAGAACCTGGCCCTGGCCCAGGCCCAGCCCCTGCTGGACCTCGCTGGTATGGTAGCGTGTGGAAGCCATCTTGCTGAACGGGCAACTGCTTTTCAAACTGATCCAGGAGTGTGGGAGGCAGGCGGGGGGCACCCTTGCCCTGAGGGTGACCCACACAGTCTTCACAGGTGTCGAAGGGGCCCTGGCCGGGGTACATCCTGGGGAAGGTGCTGCTCCCCCCCCCTGCCCCAGCCCCCCCTGGCCCTCCCTCAGGGCCTACTGATGGCCCCTCACTCAGGCTCAGGGGACCTTCTGGAGAAAGGTGTCCCAGGCCAGCTCTTGGGGCACAGAAGCGGGGCTCGGTGGAGAAGGCCTCCCTGGAGCCCAGCAGGTATGGGGCCCTGGCAGCTGGGCCCACGTCCATATGCTGCTGGTCAGCAAAGCGGGCTGGGCGGGGATGGCTGCCTCGGTCGCCATGGTAACCCCTCATGGCCTCAGCAAAGGCTCTTCATAGTGTTGGGGGCCAGGCCCCAGGAACCTCCTGGGAAAATAGGGAGAAATGGGTTTCAAACCGAACAAGCTACTTCACCTAAAACCATCTTTCATTAGGCAGTCTTGTATTCCTTTAGGTATCAATTTATTGTGATTAATTGTACTACTTTTCCACAAATGGGCTGAAAAGTCCTTAAAATAGTCACAACAGACAAAGACACAAGGACACAAAATAATCCCGTCATTCATCAAATGCTGCAAATTTGATATATAGTTATTCACAAGAGGAAATCCTCTCAGCCAAATGGGTTTTTAAATATCCTTAGGTTATCAAAAACAAAAGGAAATCCACAGCAAACACACCAAATAGTCAAGGAAACCAGTCATTAGGTGAACTAACTTTTAACATGCTGGGTTTAGGCAAACAGATCCAGAGCTATACACCTGTCCCAACCCTACTCCACAGCCTACTACCATAGGTGCCGGCCTCAGGGTCACAGCTCCCAGCCAGGTGACCAGAGAACACTGGACCCAAATCTACATATCTAGCACCATTTCACAGAAAAATCCCTCCCCTTCCTTCCACACCCAGTTCCTTCCATCTGGCTGCAGGCTCATTCCCCCACCCCCACCACTGAGACAGGAAGGAAAACCTGAGATGACTCCTCCTGTTTCCTCCACTGGGGCTGTGAGCTTATGCAGAAGCTGTGGCTGCTCCCACCCTCTATGAGCATGAAAGGCCTCTTCGGGGAAATATTCTGGGCTCCAAATATTCTCTAGTGAAATTTCCCCTTTTGTCATGTACCCCCTCCCACAGCTTCTTTCCACTGGGGAGGGGGTGGGGGAATCAAGGAGGGAGGAAAAGCCATAGAGCAGGGATGCTGGCTATACAGGTAGTATCTGAATCCTAAACTGGGATTGGAACCCAGGAGTTCCTCCTCCCAGGAACAGTGGGCTGGCAAGGCAGAGAGGTGATGAAGAAGAAGGTCTGGAACCAGTGTCCCTGGCCCCCATCCCAGGCTGCCAAGGCTACAGGACAGAGAGGTCAACTCTCAGCAAGAGCTGCCTCCAATCAGAACTCCAGGAGCTGCCAGGACAGGAGCTATGGCAGGAGGGGGTGACAGCAGGAAGGACAGGGACGAAGGAGCTGGCAGACGGAGCTCTCCCTCATCCCAGACCATGTCCTGGGCCATCTGCTGACTAGGAGGGGATGACAATCCAGAAGACTCCAGACAGCAGCACCTCTGAGACTCCATCTCCCTTCTTCCCACCACCACCTCCCCACACCCACCCTGTTTCAGGCTTCTTCCAAACTCTGCTCACAGTTAATCTCATACTACTTCCTAAACACTTCCTATGTACCAGGTACTGTGCATACCTAACACCCTAACCCCACTGACAGCCTATCATGCAGACATTATCCACACTTACCATGAGAAACTGGAGCTCAAAATAGTAAGGTTACACAAACTCAAATTATTCAGATTTGAGAACCTGAATCTAATCCCCTCTCCCAGAATTTCCTACCACTCACCATCCGGGGTATCCCATCCTTGATGTCAGGATCCCCACCACCAGGCAGAATCCTAACTTCAGAAGGCTCAGGACCACTGGATCCTAACAGAAAAGAAAGAAGTGGTCAGCAAAAGGGAAAAGAGATTCTTCTGAAGTCCTCTGGTCTCTGGCCCTGACAGTTTCCCTTCCCAACCCCCAAAACCAAGACTGATTGGATCCCCCATGATGCAGAGCCTTCAGACCCCCAGGGAAATGAGGTTGGCTTCGTTATGCAAATACATGCAAATGAGCTCACAGGTTGGACTACCTCCAACTGCAGGTGTCTGTGTGATCTGTCCATGGTGCTGAGCCACAGCATTTTCATTGCCCTTAAATATGTCTGCCTTCCACAAACATTTTGAGCAGCTACCATGAGTAAAACTCTGAATGAGACTTGTATAGAGGTAATTTAAATGTGATCCCTGTCCTCAAGGGGTCTATAGTTTAACAGGGAACAACCTTTCGCATGACAGAGTTATTTCAGGTCCCTATATTTTTACATGAGCTGTTCCCTCCTCCTAGAAATTCCTTTCACCTGCCCCAAACCTCCCAACCCCAGCTAACACTTACATTAAGCCCCACCTTCCCTTGAAGACTTTCTGTACTCTCATTCTGGGTTATGCCTCTCTACTGGGCTTTTATAACACCCAGGGTGGCCCCATGAAACAACTATCACACTGCACTGAAATTGTTGCCATTTCTTTCTCCTCCCCTACAGTATAGTCTTCTGTGGGGTAGGAACCAAGTCCTATTCATCTCTGGATCCTTAGAATCTAATCTAGGGCTTTGCTCAGACCTAATATTTAATAAACATATACTAAGTACATGAGCAAATGGCTGTGCTGGAGAGAGGTGCCAAAATATTAGGCTCGTTCAGATGAGAGCAAAACCATTCAGTAGAGAGAAATCAAGGAAGACTTCTCAGAGAAGAGGGTACTGAATTAGAGTACAAGATGGCTGTGTATTTCACAAAGGTGGAGGGGAGATAACTCCCAATGGAGGAAAGGCAAGCACAAGCCAGAAAAGTTGTACAAATAAAGAATTCTGAGGGGTGGGCTGAGAAAGTTCCAGTAGAAAGACAGGATTTGGAGAACAGTGGGAAGGAGAGAGAGGGAGTCAGAAAGGAAGACGATTCTGAAGTTTGCAGCAGCCGTGACTGGAAGACTAATGATGCCATTATTAGACACAGGGATGTCAGGAAGAAGAGCTAGCTTTGCAAGCGTGATTAATAGTAGTGAAGAGACGCAGTCAGACATCAGGAAGAACTTCCTGACCCTGAGGGATGTGAGACAATGAAGAAGATTGTGGAGTCTCCTGGGAATCTTCCATAGAGGAGAATGTGAAATATGCCTAGCTCCAAGCTCACCCTGGGAACTGAACTGGAGTGGCTACTGGTTATCTTGCCTGGAGAGAGACTGGGGTGACCTCACAGATATCAGCTGCCTGGCTCTATGACAATTCTTCTCTTCCACTGCCCTTTTCTGGGGTAACAGAGGGCACTTCAGACCAAGATGGCTGCCTCTTAGGCACTTAGAAAAGCACTCGAAAACATTTCCACACCTTGGATAGAAGCTTTGACAGCCTGGTCCTTTGTCCATGGCACACTCCTCTTCCTGGCCCAGGCAGGACCCAAGTCTGAGATGCAGAGCACCAAAAGCCACTTTGGTAGAACTGCACACAATCCCATTTGGTTGGTTTGCAGTCCTATTAAGCTGGAATCTCACACTGAACTTCCCAATGGTAGATGTTCTCAGTTGCTCTCTGTATCCAGCTTCACATAGGTGAGCTGCGATCAAGAGCTTAACAAACTTCAGTCTCTTTAAAATTGATCCATATTCTCCTAGCTGTGTTCTCAGAGGAGATAAGTCCTTACAGTTGCTCCTCTCCAGACAGACCCTTCTGGCTCCCTGACCCATGTCCTACAGGGCAGCACTGTCTAGTGGAAAGAGCACAGTCTCAAGACCAGAAGGTATACAACCCAGACAAGTGACCCAACTTCTCTATAGAGATCCCTGCTCACTTCAGTGCATATCAAATGACACAATGCATACAAAACCACTTTATAAACTGTAAAATATCATGCAATGTAATGTCTCATGTGAGGCATTTATTTTGGACTTCTGAATTCCTCAGTGACCAAATAGTAAAGGATATTTTAAAAAATCCAAGTTACTGGGGGGAAAAGATATCTAATTTATGGATTTCCTAAACAACAAAAAAATTCATTATCAACTGATTTATTGCTATATATTATGCTTCACAGCCACATTCCTTCACCCTCTGTCCCCACTATTTTGGCACCTCTCTCCAACACAGCCATTTACTCATACTAGACATGATCTAGGGAAAGGAAAAACAAGTGAGGAAGGGATTCATAATCTATCACCCAGTCCTATGGATTCTGCTTCCTAAAAATAAATGTACCCACTTATTTCTGTTACCACCAATCATTGTTGGCTGACTAGCTAAAACTCATTCCTAACCTCCTCCCTTTCCCAGCCTCCCATGTAACTTCAGGCCATGTGATTCAGTTTTGGCTAACGATATATATACATGAACATATGATGAGACAGGCACTGTGGCACACACCTGTAATCTCAGCTATTCAGGAGACTGAGACAGGCGGATCTCAAGTTCAAGGCCAGCTTGGACAACCTAGTAAGGCCCTGTCTTAGGAAAAAAAAAATGAGGCTAGGAATGTAGCTCAGTGGTAGCCCACCACCAAGTTCAATCCCCAGGACTTCAAAACAAAACATAAAAATTAGGTGAGGGTTTCTGGGAAATTGTCTTGCCTTTGTCACAAAAAAGGATGGAGCTTGCTAGTGCCATCTTTCCTCCCCTTCTTTTTGGCCAGAATAAAATAACGATGGCCAGAATGAGGGTAGCAATCTTGCCACTGTGAGAGAAAGCCCTCGGCAACGGCAGGGATGTTAGTCCTGGCACCAAGGAGCCAGGAAGCAACACAAGCGGTTGCCTTTCCCCAGGCCTGCTGTGATAGGGAATGAACTCTATTTTAAACCTCCCTGGGCCAGATTTTCTGCATGTGCAGCAGAAAGCACTACGAACGAATCCAGCTACACCTCTGAACATCACCTTCTGCCTGTACATCTGCAAAAGTCTCCCAACTGGTCTCCATGTTTCAGCTCTTACCCTACTCCAACCCAAATGATCATCTGAAAACGCTAATCTGATCATGTGGCTTCTCTGCTTTAAATTCTTCACTGGCTTACTGATGATGCTTAGGACAAAGCACCTTCACCTGTCTGACCAGGCCAGCACGGCGTGTCCCTTCCTGCTTTCCGACATCCTCTCACCACATGCCCCCTCCTTGCTCTCTCTGCTTCAGCCATGCCAGTCTTTTTTCAGTTCCATGATCCTTCACATCATGGGGCCTATTCCCACTGTCCCCAATGCTTTTCCGGCCCACCTCTGCCTTGCTGCCTCCTGCATTCCCTTCAGATCTCAGCCCAGTGGTTGCTTCCTCGGGGAAGCTTTCTCTGGCCTCCCTGAGTAGGTCAGATCCCCCTGCTGTTTGCTCTCAAGGCACCACGGACCTGGCTCTTACATCGTTACCATTTTAAATTTGTGTGATTCCGAGATCACCTGTCTCTCCCGCTAGAATGTAAGTTCCGCGCAGGAATCTTGTCCGTCTCAGTCGCTGTGTTCTCCCCAGCCCCTAGCACAGTGCCTGGCACGTGGCAGGTGCTTGTTGAGAGACTTTTTAGAGCCTACAAAGAACAACAGCCTTTCATTTGTGATATTTTATCTGATTCCCAAAACCATTTCAAGAGATGGAGATTATCCCCACCCCTCCCAATTTATAGAAAAAGAAAATGAGACTTTGAGAAGCTAATTAACCATCCTAAAGTCACACTGAAAGCCGGTAGCAAAGCCAGAAGTCAAACCCAGCGCTGCCTAATTCCAAAGCCTTAACTTTTCCACTGTCTGTGCTGTTAGCCCAGAGAAGTCACTTACCCAATGCCATTCTGAAGGAAATACAGCAACGAAAGTGCATTTGGATGTTTTTGCTTTTGTTTAGCAAACAAAGCAATCAAAAGACCTCACCTATATCACACACTCCAGAGCAAACCAGTGCATGATTTAACCTTTTCCCCTGCGTGGCGAGAACGTGAGTTTATGCCAAGACCAAAGTCAGACGAGCACAGAATAAAAGAAGCTCTCTGAAGCCCTGTGGCAACTCTGGGTGCTGCCATTATTTTCCCCACTTTACTGCACTAAGTCATCTCTCCACTATCCCAGGACACAAGGAGCTGCCCAGATGATGAACCTCTGGGCCGGGAAAGCAGCCACTTCTGCAAGTGGCTTGTGGCTGGCTGGGAAGTGGGAAGTGAAGGAGTCTGGGAGGGTGCCGTGTGTGACAAATTCTTCTCTGATAGAGCTTGAATCTATCTGGGAATGGAAGAAGTGGCACAGATGCCGTCACCAAGAAATTACCCAATTTAGCACCAACTACACAATCCAGCAATTAGTTTCTTAAACCGGAACTTGCTGGGGGCTGCCAGGCTGGCGGGGTTGTTGTTACAAATCTCACTGGGAAACCAGCTGTGTAATTCGCCAGGGAGGTTGTCACTGCCCCAAGCAATTACCTTCCAGAAAAAGAATGGAAAATGGGGGAAGGAAAAGGGATACAGAGGAAGGAGTCAGTGTTTTCTCTCCCTAGCCCCCAGGGCTCTGCCCAGCCAAATCAGTTGATTTTCTTGAGACCTAGGTGACTCACAAACTCACTGGATCAAAGCGGTTATTGGTGTGGACTGTGTCTTCAGACTATCTGGGTTCAAATCCCTCTCCACTCACTTACTAGCTGTGTGTACTTGGGCAGGTGATTCACCTCTCTTAAACTATTTCCTCACCTGCAAAATGGGGATTGTATGAGAGCCATCATAAAGGTACTAATGATGTAAGGGATAATAAAGGAAAGCATATAATTCCCTTAGCACTGTACCTAGCACATGGTAAAAACCCAATAAAGGTAGATATTGTCATTTGTGGTTTTGCTTTTATTACTTCCTCCATTGGCTTACAGTGTGACCTTAGGTAGGTCA